GGAGGACAAGAACTGACTGAGCCTGGGCTGCCCAATCAGCCTGTGTGTGAACTGCAGGGAGCAGGAGCCAGGCAGGCAGAGGGGGCTGCTGTAGAGCTGTCACCCCAGGAAAAGGCTGGAAGCCTGGAGCTGCTGGAGGCCCCGAGTGGTGACACCCATGTGAAGATGTTTGCAGAGCTGAGGGAGATCAAAGGGAGCTTGGAGGCAGAGCTGCAGCTCCTGAGTTTGGGTGATGATCTGGGTACAGAGCAGGCAGAGAGCGTGGGGCCAGAGGAGCAACTGCTGGAGGAAGCTGATAGAGCAGAGCCAGGGCTGGAGGGGGGAGCTGGGGCTGCTGCAGTGCTTGGTGAGGGGCTTTCCCCAGCAGAAATCCCTGCTGGGAGTCCAGCTCCAGGTGAGCTGGTACAGGTCAGTGCTCAGGAGCTGGAAGGGAAGGAGGCAGAAGCCCATGGAGAGAGCACTGGAGCTGATGGGAAACCGCTGTGTGCATCAGGGCTGTGGGAAGGGGCAGAGAGCCCAGCTGTGGCTCTAGAAGCAGCTCTGTGCATGGCTGACAACACAGACATTTGGGACAGGAATGTTGAGCCTGCCCTGCATCCTGAGTATACTCAATACGCTGCTGCTGAGCATGCTCATCCAGGGCTGGTAGCAGTCAGTGGTCCAGATGAGCAGATCCTGGAGGAAACCCAGACAACGAGTGCTGATGCAGAGGGGAGGCCTCTGGATGGAGCTCGAGGTCTGGAAGTGGTGCAGGGAGCAAGGCTGGAGGCAGAGGGAAGGATTTTAGTCGAAGCTCAGCATTTGGAACTAAAGCAGGGCCACGATGCCGATGCAGCCACACTTGCTTCTCCTGTCTCCGAGGTACCGTTACAAATCAGTGCTCTAAATCCAGGTGTGATGATGCAGGAGGATGTTCTCATTCCAGATGTGCAGCTGCTAGGTGGTTCGGGACAGGCAGCCCAGAGGCAGCTCCAGGAGCAGGTCTCAGCACAGGCAGACAAGGGGAGGCTTCGCACTGCTCCCCGGCAGCCACAGAAGCCACCAGGCGTGATGGAAGCAGAACAAGCAGCTGCTGGACCTGCTGAGACTCCAAAACAAGAAGTGCCACCAGCATCAGCCCTTCACACAGGGATCCTACAAGGGGAAGATGCTGTGAAGGATCTCTCAGGGATGGCCCTCGGGGACAGCCCACTGCTGGAGGTGGTCAGCAGCGGGGCACAGCTCTCAGGAGAGCAGAGAGAAGAGCTCGATGTGGAGACGAAACAAGAGATGGAGAAGAGCCCAGGAGGTGAGCCCAGCCCTGGAGAGCCAGAAGCTGTGACTGTGAGTGAAGCAGGAGCTGCCCCAAAGGGCTCTCTGGAGCCAGACCACCTCTACAACGTGCTGTTTGTTGGGGACTCCCATGTGGGCAAAACCTCCTTTCTGTACCGACTGCATGCCGACACCTTCAACCCGCACCTCGCTGCCACTGTAGGTAGGTCAGCTCTGCACCCACGTGGGTGACCATCACGGTTCCCTTCCTTCCAACCCCACAGGTTGCTGGAGGTCATTACACACACATCACTGCTCACACCATCCTGTCACCAAGGTCCAAACTGAGCCATGCACACCTGGATGCTTGCAAGTAGGCGATGCTTGCAAGTAGGCAATGCCAGCCCTCCTTGACCTCTCTGGGGCACCAATCCAACTGTCAAATATCCAAGGGTTGTGGGCTTCCTTGGGAGCAGCCAGCTTGAGCTGCAGCCTCCACCATGTGGTTCCTCCATCCGTATTACAAGAGGGAAACTCCACAGTATCCAAATACCCCTTTCTGTGTCCCAGGGCTGGATTATCAAGTCAAAAACCTCGTGGTGGACAACAAGCGCTTCGCTCTCCGCCTGTGGGACTCAGCTGGGCAGGAAAGGTGAGGTGCTGGGCTGGGTGCCTGGGAAGAGAAACCTGGGGCAGCTTATAGAAAATGGATGTTCTTGCTTTGCAAAGGGGGTTGTTTGGGGAGGGACTCTATATAGCGTGTGGTCTGAAAATAACAATACTAAAGGAAGTCATTTGGATAAAAATAAACGCTCAAACTCTCTGCAGTTTGAGCGATAGAAGCAAAAATAGGGTTTTGGCTTCTTGGTTGATCTGTGTTCCCAGCTTTTCCACTGGGATTTCAGGTTGGCGGTAGGCAATCCCTCCTCCCTCCCTCCCTCCTGGTGATGCTTTGCACTGCCTGCAGGTATCACAGTGTCACCAAGCAGTTCTTCCGGAAGGCAGACGGGGTGGTGCTGATGTACGACGTCACGTCGCAGTACTCCTTCGCCGATGTGCACTACTGGCTCAGCTGCATCCAGGTGGGCAAAGCAAGGAAACCCAGCCCCATGAAAGAGGCTTTGGTAACATCTGACATCTAGAACAGCCCCCTTTCAGTCCTGGGAAATGGGGGTAACTCACAGCTATTGGCCCAAATCCATGCGCACCCTTCAGGATGTGTCTGGGCGGTGCGTCCAGCTGTGATTCAAGGAGGTGATGCTTGCATTTCTGATCCTCCCCTCTTTCACTGCCCAGGAGGGAGCAGAAGATGGAGTCACAGTTCTGCTTCTGGGGAACAAAACAGACTGTGCTGCAGAGAGGCAGGTCCCTACGCTGGAGGGGGAGCGCCTGGCTCAGGTGGGTGCATGGCCCTGCTGCAGTGTCTTGCCCAGCTGGGGTCCCATTCCTCAGCACTGAATGTTGGTCTTGCAGCCACCAGAAAAGGTGCATTGCACCCTCAGGCAGCAGTCCATCAGTTATTGGGTTACTTGTTTCCCAAGTCCTTCTGTTTCTGCTTGACCGTGATGCTCCCTGGCTATTCACTGTTGTATTGAACCATTGCAAAGCAGGGGAAGCACATTTGTCTGTGGGCTCTGTGTCTTCCAGGAGCATCAGCTCTTGTTTTATGAATGCAGCGCTGCCTCCGGCCACAACGTCACTGAGTCCATCGTCAGCCTGGTCAGGTGAGGAGCGTGCTTGGGTTTTGCCAAGGTTTTAATGGGCTCCCACCTGCATTTCCTATGGGAAGTGTTAGTGTGTCACTGCCACTGGAGCTGCTACGCGGAGAGCACTGGGATGAAGTGGGGATGTGCTGGGAAACATCTCCTGGGTGCTCTGCATGGCAAAGAGGTGGAAAAAACGAGACTTCTCAGGATGCTGCTGCTTTATCCCTGGGTTGCTTAAATCAATTCTGTCTGTGATTGGATTTAGGCTGGGGTTTCCAGCAGTTCTCAAAGCACACTGAGCTGGAAAGGCCCCTGGCCCCTTTCACTCGATGAATAGAAGAGCAATATAAAATATGGGGGAAAATGCATGGCTCGTTTGCTTCCTTTTTGCTCAGGGCACTCAAAGTTTGTGAAGACCAATTGAGAAATAAGGCAGAAGAGGTACCAAAGCTGCCTCAGAAGAAAAAAGGATGCTGTTGGTGATGGAGAGAGTCCTTGCTGTGGTCTGAAACTGCAACGGCAGCCAGAAAAGCAACTGGAGATGAGGAGAGACCACAGGATGACTGCTCAGAGAAATCAGGGTTATGAACTCCACCAGGAAGGGTGTGATATTGCAGTGACAGCAGCTGAAGAAGCAACACAGCTCCAGCAGCTCTTTTAGACATGTGCATCTCCTCTGCAGCTCAGTGCCCCAGCACCTCTGTATCACCTGAGCCTCCATCCCCTACCTGGCTGCTCCCACCCCATCCCTCTGCCACTTCCTGTCCTCCCTTGGCCCTAATCCTTGAAGGACCTTTTTTGCTTGATGCAATATATGCTCCCATGCACTCCCTGGCAATCCCTTTCTGCCACATTTCGTTATAAAATGATTTTATTACTGGGTGTGTTATGGGGCTGGCTTGAAGAATGGAGCAACTCAGGAAGTACTTTCATGGCTCAGCTCGGGGCTGAAGCTGGACTCGGTGTTCAGGTTACCCACAACAGGATTTTTTTGTGCCCATCTTCCCTATTTCTGCTTTGTTGTCTTATCTTAAACAAATATAATCCCAAGAACCCTTTGCAAGTGTGGCCGATGATGAGAGGAGCACCATTCCAGCCTGACCAGCTCAAATGGGCACCTCTCACTGGCTCTGTATGACCCCCATTGCAGAGCTGCCCATGCACCAAAGCCTTTCAGCAGATCTGCTCTCTCCCTTCCCTAAATTTGCTGGGATTATGTGCAGCAGATGCTGCCTGTCCTGGGCAATCCCACTGCTGCTCCACGAGCAATTTATTTGCTCACAAAAGTGTAAGGAGCTGAGCCTGAATTCCCCCGTTAGATGGCAGCAAATGCGGCTGAACCTTCATTGCTGTTGAAAGCAAAGAACAGCAGGGCCTGAAACTGATCTGCAAAAGAAAAAGCTTAGCAGAGCAGCAGACAGAAAGAAACTTCTGTTCTCTTGGAAATCATGTCTATAGAAGAGGATTGAATCTGTGCCCGGATGTGTTGCAAGGCAGTAAAGCAGGTTGGAAAACACAGAGGTGGTGTTGGTCTCTATTCTCAGTGAGAGGATGCAAGGAAATGAGCTGGAGCTGTGGCAGGGCAGGTTCCAATTGGGTGTCAGGAAGGATTTCTTCACAGGGGAGGTGGGCAGGGACTGAAGGGGCTGCCCAGGGAGGTGGTGGAGCTGACATCCCTGGAGATATATAGGAAACACGTGGATGTGGCACTTGGGGACACAGCTTTGCATAGGACTTGTAGCGTTGGTTGGACTCTGATCTCAAAGGTGTTTTCCAACCTAAATGTCTGAACCATAAGGACTGCTCACTTGCAAACACATTCATGAGTATTTCAAGGAGGATCGAGGTCTAAGATATGAACAGCAACAGGGAAATTCACGTTTGGACTACAGGAACTGTTTTTAATGAGGTTCTTTCCCTTTGAGCTCTTTAAGGCGCCCCACATGAAAGAAAGGAGCTGCCCAAGTTGCATCAGGAATGCAGACCTTGTTTCCAGCCCCAGGTCATCAGGTGCCTGCCTCCAATTTGCTTTGTTTGTGCACCTTGAGAGCTGGCAAACTGGGGGGGATCCTGACACGTTGGGACAAATTGTGTTAGGAGTGCCAGGTGCCAGCTTCCAGCAAAGCCAGCGTTTGCTTGTGAATGCCCAGTAGTGATCCTGGAGGATTTCCCTCCAGTCCTCTGACATTGTGCTAAAGTGGAGTGGGGACTTCCCTACATCATCAGCTGGGGTTGGGAAGGCAGGAAATCCCAACGGAATCCTCTTGGTGTCTGATCGAGCTGCAGAACTCATTGCTGCAGGATGGTGCCGAGGCTGAGAGCTTGAATGAGGCTGAAATGGGGACCTGAGAGCAGCAGATACCAAAAACCAGCCTGTGATCATCATAGCTGGGAATGGCGCGGGGGTCAGGGAGCAGATTGAGGGGTGCAGGGGTGCCTCGATGGAGGGGCCACAACATCAGAAGGACATAAAATATAGAAGAGCATCCAGAGGAGGGCTGTGAAGGTGAGGGAGGGTCTGGAGGGTGGGACAGGTGAGGGTTTGTTTGGTGGGCGGTGTGACTGGATGATCTCATAAGTCTTTTCCAACCTTGGGTGTTTCTGAGATTCTGTGATTCTGTTTGGCTGGAGGACAGGAGGCTGAGGGGAGGTCAGCCGGGGGGGTGAGGGAAGGAGGAACTGAAAATCAAAATCAATTGAGAAATAAGGCAGAAAAAGGACTAAAGCTGCCTCAGAAGGAAAATCCTCCCCCCGCCGCCTCCCTCCTCTCCCTCCGCCGGAAGCAGGAAGCGGCCGGCCCCGCCTCCACCGCGGGCGGGAGGAGCCCGGAGCCGGGCGGCGGAGCGGGGTGAGGCCGGGGGCGGCGGGGCGGGCGGGAGCCGGGCGGGGGGGGGGGGGGCGGCCTGGGCCTGAGGGCCTCCCGTGGGCCGCGCGGGGTCGTGGAGGCGTTTTCTGCCTCTGTTTATTTAATTATAACGATTTTTTTATTTATCTTAAAGCCTGGACGTTGGCTCACAGTCGGCGGTGGCCGCGCTGTGGCGGTGGGATGCAAGGCCTCGTTGTGGGCACGGCGCATCCAGAGCCCAGCGTGGAAATCTTCCCCTTGCGGCTCTGTGTCGGGTTTTCCCCATAGAAGCAGCCTTTCCCTTCTCGAGGTTTCTCCCGCAGCGCTCCTTGCTCAATATTTCTCTTTTTGAGGCCCTCGTTCCCAGCCCTGTGGGAGCAGAGCTGGCTTTGGTTGTTTGCTGGGACGAGTGGCTGCTGCCCGTCACCAGACGGAACCTCGAGGGCTGGCAGAGTTCATCGAAAATGGCACAGAACGCCTGGATGTTGTGCTGGGGAGGCCTGCCCTGTGAAAAAGGCCCACTCCATGTGCGTGTTGCATACAGTGGCCTCTTGTTGTTATTTTCTCAGCCTGGTTGTGTAGGAAGGAACATAATGGATTGTTATTTATATATATATTTTTAAGGCTTTGTCTGTTCTCAAAACGGTGTCTTCAGTAGTGTCTAGTGTCCTGGCTGAGGATGCAGATTGCTGTTGGGTTTGCCAAGGAGTTACGCAGGGCTTTTCAGTGCCTTGTAACTCGCAGGGGTTGTCAGCAAATGTGCTTGGTCAGAGCTGAATACAAAGGTTGGGGTGGAGAGAACTAAGATCACAGAATGGCCTGGATTGAAAAGAACCACGACGATCATCTGTTTTCAACCCCTGTGCCATATGCAGGTTGCCAACCAGCAGCCCAGGCTGCCCAGAGCCACATCCAGCCTGGCCTTGAATGCCTCTGGGGATGGGGCATCCACAGCCTCCTTGGGCAACCTGTTCCAGTGCATCAAGATGTGTCTCAGCAGTTTACTAGAGCAGGATGCTTCTGCTGTTTGGAAAGGAGGATGCTGGTGTGTTTGACAGCATTTCTGTAGGGATAAATGTGGAAGCAGATCCAGCAAGCAGAGGAATTCAGCACTGGGAGCTTCACAGGCAAAAGTTTTGGCACGTAGGAACAAGAGGAAGCAAGATAACCTGTCACACACTGGTTGCATTGTCAAGGCAACTAAAAGCTGAGGGGGAAAAAAAGGCACTTAATATCATGCAGATGTGCTGGCTCTTTATTACAAAAATGAAAGAGTTAGTAAAGCAGTGCATTGTTTTTATAGAGCTTGAGTGCACTCCACCTACTCTGCTGACCAGAGGAAAAGGTCCCTGCCTTGGGGAGCTTGCAGTCCATAATGATGTATTGATCCAAACCTGCTTCTGGGCAGCTCTGCCAGCCCGTGAGGCTGCTCAGGTAGTGAGATCTGGGACAAATGTTTGCTCGAAATGGAGGGAATGGTGGCAGAACAGGGCTGGGAGCTAATTAACCAGGCAGTGCAGTGCAATATGTTCTCCTTGTGTGCTTTGAGTTCAGTTTTCTTTGTATTCTTTTGGTGTTTCTAAAGCTGTAGTTAAATATTTGACGCTGCTGTTGCTGTAACATGATGTGAAGTGTCTGAGTAAGGTGTACAGGCAGCTGCTGACTAAACAAGGTGGGACTGTTCTTCAGCAAGATGGTTTTCCTGATCTGATTCACTGTGTGGCCACGTAAATGTGCAAGAGCAGAACGTGGATGTTCTTGGGATGAGTGAAGCAGTTGCAGAAGCTGGCAGTCCTGCTGGTTTTGATCTGTTTTGTTTTTCTCTGAAACAGCATCCTAGCATTGCAGAAAAATATTACAAGTGCTGTGGTTTGAGTTCTGGTTTGTAGAAACCCACAGTTTGGGTTCTGTTCTGTGCAGACAAATCTGCTCCTCTGGGTATTGCAGAGCTCTGCCTTTATGGCAGACAAGAGGAGCAGCAGAGGAACAGATTTCTTTTCCTGGTGTCTTAACATTCACCCTTCATAGGGTGCGTTCCTACAAGCTTCCCTTTGAAATCTCTTTGGGAAGTCAGTTGCCATCAGGTGCCATTTAGTGTCTGTCTGTAGCTCACAACGCAGTTTGTCCTGCCTTTCTGCATGTGGGTGACCTGGAGGCAACCCCTCCGTGGGACACAAGGGTTCTCCTGCCTGCAGAGCACGCTGCTGTCTTATTACTGTTACTTAATAATCAGTTGGCCTGGACATGAGGTTGCGAAAATTTGAACCAATTGCAATCTGTTGAACTTTACCCTGTGCATACAGCTTGTTTCCCTGCCTTCCTCTTATTGCTGACAGGGTATTTAATGAAAACAAATCTATGTTAAAATAAGCAGCTACAATTATAGAGCAGGAGAGCTTGGCTTGGCTGCTGTCTGTGGTGATCAGCTTTTAGTGCTGGCTCTCGTAGTCGGTAAGCAGTCGCTTTATGGCGTGGATCGTTTGGAACAGATGAATAAATAGAGTTTCACTGATTTCTGGGAAGTTCTGTTCATTTACACAATCTGCAAATCTCCGCTGCTTCTTTTGCTGTTAGGAAATTTTGCTGCTTCTTTCAGTGCCCTTCAGAGCACTATCTTCATACCGGCCCAGCAGAGATCAGGACTGCAGCTGCCTTGTTTCTTTGTGTTCCTGGGATCTTTCTGCACCTGCTGCTGTTGAGATGGGTGACTGCAGTGTGCTCTCTGTAATGCATTGAGTCTCTCTCTCCACAGGGATTTTTCATCGGAGGCCATGGAGCTTTCAGCCAACGAGCTCAGCATCTATGACAAGCTATCAGAGACAATTGATCTGGTGAGACAGACTGGGCACCAGTGTGGGATGTCAGAAAAAGCCATCGAGAAATTCATCAAGCAGCTCTTGGAAAGGAATGAACCCCAGAGGGGCCCTCCCCGCTACCCTGTTTTAGTGGCCATCTACAAGGTAAGGCATCTCTGTGCATGCACAGCACATTTGAGGCTCTGAATGCTCTTACCTGGTGTAGGGAACCTGCTTTGGCAGGGGGGTTGGACTTGATGATCTCTGGAGGTCCCTTCCAACCCCTACAATTCTGTGATTCTGTGAATTTTTCCCTTTGCATCTGAGCCATTTGTTTCCCATTGCATTTTCCAAGTTCTTTACTGAAGAAGATGTTAAGCGTAGCTTTCTCTTTCCTCCCATAAGCTGGTTTGAAAATAGAAGGCAACCGACTGAGATTTGGAATTACTGGTGTGAATTGAAAGTTGAACATGTCAACACCTCCCTCTCCTTAAATTATTGAAGAACAAAGTCTTTGGATTGATTTTTCAGGCAGTGATTCCAAATGCCAGCACTCAGTGGAAATGTGAGGAAGGAAGGAGATTCTCAAAGTTCAGGGTTGTATAACGAAGGCATCCAAGTTCTGTTTCTGATTCTGTCCTGAGCTCCCACCCATCTTTATTCTCCTCCTAGTCTACAAAATGAACCTGCTGCCATGGTGCTCGATGAGAGAAAAATGCTTGGAGAAACTTAACTAAGAGATGCTGTAAAAAGCATTCCCAAGTAGGGGAAAGGATGCTATGCTGATAAGTAGGTAGGAGATGTTACAAGTGTAAAGAACTTCTCAGTGGCATAATGTTCAGCCGTGCTTTAGTGTTGTCTCTGCAGAATCATCACAGTGGTTTCCACTTAGAAAAAGTAATCATGCTGTTATCTTCCCTTCCTATAAAAGCTGTAAAATGAGGCTGCAGAATGGGAAACTGGGGACCTGAACTTCCATCTTCTCTTCTGGATTTTGCTGTTGGTTCACTCTGACTTTGTCTGTTGGGGAGAAATGCATGGTGTCATCTCTCGAAGGCTTCTTTGGGATTGTGTGGGGGAGGGAGCTGGCACCACCTCTGCCAAAACGCTTCAAGGCTTGACAGATGTTTGCAAAAAGCTTTGAAAACCTCGTGTAAGAGGTATGGAGGAAGTGCAGGCTTTCATTTGGTGAGGTGGGAGGAATCTGAGCCATCTGTGGATGATCCTCTTTGCTTTGGTGCTGGGTGAACAGCAGCACTGAAATAAATGGACAGAGCTGTGCGGCTCTGTTTTGAAGGCTGCTTAATTTTGGTTTTGGATAGCAGTGAAACCGAGTGACATCTCTGTGTATGCGAAAAGCACCGCAGATAAGTGAGGACCCACAGTGGAAATTTGGAGGTTCATCCTACAGCGCCCATCCTCAGCATTCAGGTGTGTCCTGTGCTGAGGACACATCAGCTCACTGCAGTGTAATTAATTACGTGCCTGTTTGTTCTTGCAGGGCCTGCTCACGCTGGGACTGGTCTTGCTAACTGTGTACTTTGTGATCCAGCCATACAGCCCGCTGCCACCCGAAACTCCACTCTCCAGAGCCCACGCCTGGGGCTCCCTCATCGGCCACATCCGGCTGCTCTCTCTCCCTATTGCCAAGAAGTACATGCTTGAGAGTAAGGAAATCATTTTTCTTCTGTAACAGAAGCCTAGAAAGAAATACCGACTTAAATACCATCCACACAAATCACTTGAGTGTCTCCTTGGGCACCAAATGCGATACTGGATTGACACCATGGTTTTCCCTTTTCCTTCTACTGCATTTAAAAATAGCATCCTGGCTTCTATTCACTGGGGCTGAAACATATTTTATCTCTTCACTTCTTGATTTCCTTCTTGCACATTCTTGTTTTCTTGCAGTTTTTGGAGCCATGGTGGGATAGCTATGCTGGATAAACGTCATCTTTAGGCATACAAAACCAATTTGTGTTCATATTTCTGTACAAAGTGTGGAAACCTCCAGATGTGACCTGGGCTTAAGAAAAAGTAGCTTTTGCCAAGTTGCATATTGGGAAAGGACTGTGGGCTTGAGAGCCTACAGTGTTCACAGCAGCTAAAGTAACATTAGGTACGGTGTGTGTGAGGAAGCTGGATGGATCTGTCACGAGATGGTGCTGTCATGGGAGATGGTCATAACAGAAATGGGAAAGTGTGAGTATTTCTCATTCCCACTTATCATTTCCACTGACTTAGGCTAGCACCTGGCAAAAGCATGGGCTCTGTGAGTTATTTTCAGCAGGGCTGTGGCACAGTGCTGATTGTCTGTTGGCTCACTGTAAAAACAAACTAATGTCTGTGCCCTCGGGTGGTTTATATTTAGCATGAGCAGCTCATTGTGTTGGAGCTCTCTGTTTGGGTCTGACCTTCCTGCTGTAGCTAAAAATGCCTCCCTGAAATGCCAGCACCATTCTGCATTCTCTCTGTGTCTCCCTGTGTTCCCCTGACGTGTGGCTGGCTGTTCATTTGGATTTGTATGGGTGGGCTGGGATATTCCCACTGTTTGCTTCCTTCCTTACTCATTGGGATCTCTCATAGAGAGGAAAAAACAAAGGTGAAGTGATGGCTCTGATGGCCATCTGACACTTCTTTATCCCTCAGATCAATTCCCATATAAAAACTAATGCTCCCACCCTTTGTGTCTTCAAAGCCAACTCTGTATCTGATGGCCTGTTACGTGTCAGTGTGTTTATGTGGGTCTGTGAACACCCCTCTGCTTCTGTATGCAGAAGGAAACAAATGGAGACTTTTGTGCCCAGGCCTGGGCTGCTGATGTGAAAACCAGCTGATCAGAAAACATCCAAAGGGAACGTGAGGTTCTGGGAATCAGGATGTGAGGTGGTTGTTTAAATGCACATAAAATCCCCCGTGCCTCCACGAGTTCTGGGAATCTTACAAGAGTAGGGGGTCTTGTAAGCAGGCCTAGCACTTTCCATCTGTATAGAAGACACCATGCAAGGAGTCTGCGCTGCAAAGGAAAAACACAGCCCAGGGACTCTTGTTCTCTGAGTTGCTAGATTGATTTTTAGAAGGAGCTGAGGCTGAAACCTCTTGTGCTCAGGCACCAGTACAAGTCCAGCTTGGGCTGTTCATGCTGAAAGCCACCCCTTAGCAGTCTGGAGGCCGCCCTGGCCCACCGGCGGTGCTGGCGGCCTTCCCTTGGCCACACAGCCCAAAATGGTGTGGACAAAACCTGGATGCAGCCAGACTTGTGTGGGTGGCTCATTTCACTTCCTCTGGGGCCGGCGGGGGGCTGAGGTCTGGGGCTGTGCTGTCCTTCCTGGGCCTGCTCTGGAAGCAGTTTTCCTGTTTGCAGGTTGGAGCCTGTTCCCTTGGTAGATGTGGGCTGGGCAGGCAGGTTTCCCCAAGAGCCCTAAATCAGTGTGATGACAGCACTTTGAGGTGAGCAGGGGTGTGGGATGGCTGCTCCCCCTCCCTCCAGCTCAGGGTAACCCATTTTCCTCCTAACCTCCATCCTAGTCCCTTCCACCCCAGGAGCCATGCTGTGGATGACAAGGGCTGCCTGTGCCAGTGGCTGTGGGAAGACCTTTGAGCCTCCACCTCACAGCCAAAGCGAAGAGTGCAGTGTGTGCAAAGCTGTGTCTGTTGCATTAGGTTTGTAGGATTGGGTCCAAAGTAAATTTCCACTTTGACTCTCTTTCTCTTCTGCTCCTTGCCTTCTTTATCCCTCAGATCAATTCCCATATAAAAACTAATGCTCCCACCCTTTGCATCTTCAAAGCCAACTCTGTATCTTTGGGTTTGGCCCCTGTGCCTCTGTTCCAGCTGTTTTCCCAAGGTTAGGAACCAAGGTCCTTTTGGTTGGGGTAAGGTTGTACACAAATGTGGTTTGCATTTACTCTTCCTGAGCTCATGTTTGTGCAGAGCTTGTGAAAACCCCAGTGCTGGGTCACACTGCCTGCTCTGGGCAGGGTGGGTGCCTCTCATCACGTGAGCATTTTGCTTTCTGCTGGACAACTGAGTGCCTCACATTGCGCCTATCCCCAGGGAGGTGGGAGATTTGCTGACCTTTGGGGTCTGTGTTTTGTAAGGAACACTGAATTTTGAGCAGGCATTTGGGTTAACACAGGATTCCCAGAGAAAGCAGGGCCTGTGTAACCTGGATTTGTTTCTTTTTTCTGAATATTCTGGGATGGAGAAGTCGCTCTACCTGTGTTTCAATTCTCTCCCTTCCAAGTTGGGCTATGAGTGCTTCTTTTTCCCTTGCAAGTGTTGGGAGGAAATGCAATGAACTCCTTGAGTGTGTAGTAATAGGTGCCAGGTGAGACACTACATGTTTATCTGTGCTCCTTCCCTTTGTGATGCAGTGTGACATCTTTATAGTTCTTTTGATATCTGAATATGAATTTAGGTGTCGTATTGGTAACTGTTCCTGCCAACCACACAGAACAAGGATGTGGATGAGCAGAGCATGAATTGTTCTTACATTATCTCATGTATCTGCCAGTGTGCTAAGTCCTTGCAGCTCACAAACCTTGGTCAGTGGTGGATAGGCTCTCATCCAACAGTGTGACCATTTACAGGAGTTGTTTCCAGCATGTGGTGACCTAAAGGAATAGCCAGCTCTGCTTCTAATAACGAGACCCTGTCCTGACCAAATGTATCCAACACAGTTCAAAATGAGCTGCATAAGTAGCTGCTCATCGCCTCAGAAATCAGATGCAAGCATACATGTAGCTCAGGGTTGGAGAAGTGATCCTGTGCAGTTATCCCCAGCTGAGAGATGACTCCTTGTGTTTAAAAACTCCCTTTTGCATAGACCAGAAGGGCTAGAAAACATGTTTGTTGGCTTTATTCATAATCTGTTTCAGAGAAATGGACCCTGCTAGAGGAGCTGTGTTTAAGCAACACCTTGTAAATGGCATGTATCACACTGGGGGGCTGTCAGGTGCCTCTGAGAGCTCTTTGTGGGGATGGGTCACAGCAAGCTGGGTTACTGGGGCTGCTCAGCTGGGAGAAGGCAGCAGCCTCTGCCTCTTGGCTGGCTACCTTCACTTTGGCTCCAGGCTTGCCTTGGCGCCTGGCCAGGCTCTGGCTTCTTTCTGGACTTAACCCTTTGCAGGCAGCCTGTGATGGGCCAGCCGCTACCAGATTTCTCTCTGTTCCAAGGTTGTTGCCTTCCCTCCTATTGTAGCCCTGCAGTGTGTTTATCCTTGGCTCAGCTCCATGCAAAAAGGGAGCATCCAGCATGCCTGTTTTACCTGAGGGAGAGGTTCTGCTTCCTGAGCTCAGCGTGGGCATAGAATCTAAGCATTCAGTCTGCCTTTCTCAGGAGGTTTTGCAGCCCACACTGCATCTGACCTGCTGGGTTCACTGATCCGTGAGCCCAAGGAGCGTGGATCTGCTTTGAATGGAAGCTTTGAACAAGAAAGCTGCTTGGGACATAAAGCAGGGTCTGATTTCTAACTTGCTCATCATAACGGTCTAATCACCATACTGCCTTTCTTTCCTGCCTTCAGCACAGCCCTCTCATCTTGCTTACAATGGATCTATTTTTTTTTTCCTTCCTAAAGAAGGTGCATTTTGTCTGTTCAAGCTCTTTTGCTCTTCTATCTGTGCAAACACTCATGTTCCCACTTCAGGAGCTTGTGCATGTTGAGGTCTGTGTGAGCATGGCCTGGGTTGCAGGACTTGCCTCCATCCCTTTTCAGCTGCCCATTTATCTGATCTGTGTGTATGTCAGCATCCTTTTATAACACAACCTGAAGCAGACCAGCAGACACCTGTGATGGCTCATTCAAAGGAGGATGAAGAAAAGGCTGATGTTGCAGTGCAGTGAGATGCCAAGCTGTTTTCAAATGCTGCCTTACTTTGGCCTTGGTTCAGCCAGTGGAATGTTTATTTGGATTTGCTGGTAGTAAACTAACTCCCAACTAACTGGCAGTCTGGAACATGAGGAATTCTTCCTGTTGCTTTTGTATTTTGGTGTCTTCAGAAGTTCTTGTTTCCTTGTTTGCCAAGTGAATTCTCATTTTGGTTTACTTCCCAGCAAAGAGGAATTGTGCCATGTACAACCTGTTGCAGGGGCAGAGCTCTGTGCTGATGACTTGGGCATGTCAGATCTTCTGCAGAGTCAAGTGTCAGGCAGCTGGAAGCAGCTGAGAGGGATCTGCTTCAAAAACATTCTGTTCCTCCAGGCCAGACACTGCCAGAGCAGCACAGGGCACAGAACCAGAGGTGCAGGTTGTGGAGGACTTTCCTGACAGCTTCATCCCTGCCTTCAGTTTTGTATATTGGCAGGTGAAGATTTTTCCTGGAAGTGATGCTCTTTTATCCCACAGGACTGTGAGTTCCTCCTGGGCTGGGCTGAGCAGACTTGATTTCACAATGGTTTGTTGGATCAAAATAATTTTTGTGCTTGATTGGAGGTTGACTAATCACCCTTGGGTTGTTTGACATGAGTGACATGAGGGAGCAGTTCTTCAAGCTGTTGATTTTTCACTCAGTTTTATTAAGGCATTTACTTGTAGCTGTTATTTTGTTGCTAGCTTTTCCTAAGAATGCTACAAAGCAAGCTGGGAGTTACTTTCTCCTCCAGGCATAAATATGTTCAAAATGGAGCTACAGAAGTGTTCAGTGTGAGAAGGAGGTGAGGATCTTGTGCTGAAGTTGTGTAGTGTACATTTAAAACCTCACCGTGATGCTTTCCTTGATCAGGACTTCTACACTACAACTAGCAAGTATTGTTTATGACTTATTTGGGAACCTACCAGTTTAGCCTGACTTCAGATTGATATATGATTGATATATAATAATGAATTGATGTCTGTGAACTCCTTCAATTTTTTAAAATATAATTTTAACTTCCCATAAAGTCTGGGAGAGACAGTGATAAGCTTGCTGCTGAAGGAGATACGAGCTGTTTACTTGAGGAGTGTGTATCTGTAAGTCTGCAGAGATCCCAACACAGCTGGAGGCCATTCTTGACTCAGAACCAAGGACAACCTGACCACAACCTGGTGGGGGGCCAGCAAGCTGTGTCCACACCTGCAGCTCTGCATGCAGAAAGGTTTATGTTTGCAGCACTTTGTTAGGGTCCGAAGCTGCCCTTGGCTCCACGTGTCTTCCTGGAGCAAAAGCTTTCTCTGCCAGATGGTTTCCCTCTGACCCACTGCACTAGCAGACTGATACTGGCCTCCTGTGTGGACCCTTAAGAAAGCAGGGCTGTTGCTGAGGCCTTGCTGCTGCTCTCACATCTACGTGGGCAAGTTTCCATGAGTTTTGTTGCTTCAGTGCGGTGGGCAGAAGCAAGGCCAGGTCTTCTCAGTAACCTCAGGAGATCCAATGTGATCGTCCCCACCCTGCATCTCTGGGGCTGCGCACACACACCCCTCTGTAGATCTAGGGACAGCCAAAAAGCTTGGGAGATCCTCTGGAAATGGCCAAGTAGGGCGGGGTGCACATGTTAAACTGATTGTAAATTGAAAATTATTTCTCTGCATAGTGGAAAGTACAGCCACGAACTCCTGCCAGCATTAATCATAGACATGTTTTAAGGGAAGTTATCTCTTCATCTGTGCTATGCTGGCAGCTGGAAGTCCACAGCCCTGGTGCTGCTAGGACCTATCCAGGCACAGGGGAGAAGACAGCCCTTGTTCTGCAGAGCTAACGAAGAACAAAAGCAGATATTGGGTGAGTGTGATCAACGGGGAGCTGAGGTTCTGTGTGACAAACTGAAAGCTGCCCCTGCGAGGGCGACGAGAAAGCACAAGTGCAGAGGAGAGGTTCGCTGGGACTGGCCCACACTCGTGTCACGTAATGGGTAGTGGAGTGTGTCACTGCTACAGCTGCTTCCCTGCAGCCAGACTCCATAGGGATAGCTGCACACGCCCAGCACTTCAGTGTTTGCATGTGAGTGGATGGGACCGTGGCGTGACGGCTGCGTGGAGATAGAGAGTGCATCTTTCAGGCTGTGTGAGCACAGGCAGTTTGCTTGGCTTAAACCAAAATAATCCCCCAGGGTGTCTGGGCAGGGTGATAATGTAAAAGGAATGCAGGGAGTGCAATCGAAAGGGAAGAATAAGCAGCCTTGGGAAACCTCCTGCTCTGGTCCTCAGTGTGCGGTTGCGTGCCCTCTCCTCTATGTGAGGTCCCATCTCCCTCCCTCCTTTGGAAGGGCAGGCCCTCCATGCTGTCCATACTTGTCATGCCAGTCACACGCGTGCTGGTGCACAGACTAACACCCTCAACAATCAATCTAAAAGATTAATTACCAAAAAAAAAAAAACCAACAGAAAAAAAAGAGTCCCACAGTCTCACTTGCAGCATTTGAAATGCGTCTCAACTGTGCTCCGCTAGGGTTATTCATGGGGAAAAGAAATAACCTCCTGAATCAAGCAATTGAGAATGCAAATATCCCAGCCTGGCTCAAAGGAGGAATCAAGCTCTGTACTGTCAAAGCTGATTAGCATCCAGCTATGTGGGGTGCTGCCTTGAGACCTGGGAGAGAATTTTGGGACGTCTGAGCTTAAAGCTTTGGGATGAGCTCTGAGTTTTGCAGAGAAACAGATGATAGTGGTGTTGCTCTCTGCATCATGACAGACTATAAGATATGTTTTCTTGTTCTCTTCTGGTGACTGCCCTTCCTCTGGAGAGATCTTTCAGCCTTTTGTTTCTCATTGCTGACCAGCTGTTTTTTGTGAGTTGAGTTTTTTGTAGTAAAACCGAAGCTTTCTACAGCCAGTGGAACAAAGATTTTCTTTTTTCTCTTGTGAGCAGAGGAGGGAAAATGCTTTGGAGCAGTTTCTCATGGGAGCGGGACTTCTGCATGCAATCAGGTTTTTACACTCTGTTTTTCCTTTTCACTCCTTTCCCCAAAACCACCGTGGATGCTTCCTCCAGCAGGACTGCAGATTGCATCCTGATCCCTTCCCATCCATATCGCAGCAGTAGGGTGGGAAGTTGCAGCATGTGTGGTTTGATTGGAGATATTCAGAGGAAAAAAGCAAAATGAATCCCAATCGTCTCCTCCTTGCAACACCCCCATGAGCCTGCAGCCCCCCGTAACGTTGCTCTTTGTCTGCTGCAGACATCAGAGGGAAAAACGAAGCAAATACTTTGCTGTTAAATGGTATTCATCAATTATGAGCTGTAAGCAGGAGTGTGAGCGTGGCTGGATGCCGCAGTCATAACACCAGGCAGGCTGCAGGCCTGAGGAGCTGCTGTGCATCACTTCTCAACCATTTTGCAGGCAGGCTTCGCCGTCTCCTCTTTCTCTCTCCTGTCTCATCTGCTCCGTTTCCCTGGGCGTTTTGCAGCAATGTCCAGGAGGCATGAGCTGTTTTGACATGTGCTGGCACTGCAGGGAGGGCTGGGCCTGCTGTGAAGACAGATCTCTGGACTCCTCATCTGAGGCGTGTCCAGGGCCTTGGGTTGCCCCGAGCCACCCTGACAGATCAGGTGTTTGGGTGGATTTGCTGCATCTGCCCAACTTCACATCTCCCTGTAGGACTGAGGTTGTAACGCCACAGCTGTCGCTGCCACTGAATCAGAGCTGTGCCTTCCTGGCGTGCTGGCTGCAGCTGTGGATCCCTTAACACAGAAATACATGGGATGTTCAGCAGTGTTTCCCCTCGTCCTGTTTGTTCAGTACTGCAACAAGTCCTTCTGTGAGGATTTACTTGCTCTCCTGGGCTGGGCTGCAAGTTGAAGGAGGGAGGTGAGCTGTAGATGTCAAGTAATGGTTTCACTTAAAACCTGTAGTTTTGAAGATATAAATATGTGCAGTGTTCACTGCAGGCCTGTTCAGCTAGTTTCTGAAGCTTAAAATGGACATGGCAGTAGTGCAGGGGGAAATAGGCGACTTGTTGCATATATTGCCAAGATTTTCCTGATATTGGGACTTTTCTCCCCATTTTATCTTCAAGTCAGTGCATGAGAGGAAGGAACACATCAGCACCACGTCTTGCTGAAATCCCACATTTCCCAGCAGCATCTGCACATCACAGATGGCAAACTTTGCCCAGGACAGAGTCCTTCTGAGCTAATGCAGATGGAAAGGGGAGGGTTGTGGTTTCAAGGATGTGTTAACAGGGTCTGTGGCACCAACACTGACTGTTAGAGTTACTGTTTTCAATGTGGAGTTCTATTTTTGTCTTCTAGGTGTCTTTTTGATGAATGTTTGGATTGTTTTGAACAACTTACAGGCATTGGAAACTCTCCATGTTTCATGTTAGGAATAATGAGTTTATCATCGAGTTTTATCTCCTTTCCGTCTCGTTTTTGGTCTAATTAAGCTCATTTCTCTTGTTTCTTCTCAAGAATGCCAGGACTGGTGGGCAGCAGGTTGCAGACAAAACACTTCTACACTTCCTGCAAACTGCACAGCATGTTCTACTGTGAAAAGCCTTCAGATTGTGACAGACATCGGGGAGCTATCAGAAAAACTCCAGAGGTCTCAGCCTTTTCTAACCAAGGTAATACCTGCATTCGTAATTCATAATTAATTGAGGTGGAATGTACACCTAAGAATACATTTAGCCCAAATTTAAATGTGTCAGGAGGGCAAAGAGCTGTCTGCATCCCTAGCAAGTTGTTCCTCTGATTAATTACCACTGTGGTTGGACACGTAGCAAACTTGATGGCTGTCACTCTTGGATGTTCTTCAATGGATGGAAACAGGAGAGGGGAGAAATCCTCGGTGCAAGGCTTTTTATTTTGTTTCTGTGTTGTTTAAGACAGGACAATCTCTCTCATACGAAGAACTAAAGCACTTTCAGTCCCAGGATCCTGAACTGGCACAGATTATCATAGAAGAAAATTCATCTGAATTGTGGAGCTGCCTCCCAAGACAGAGCTTCCCATTTTTCCTTCCTTGGTGGGTCAAAGATGAAACCATGCAGGTGATGGATGTGTCCATCTGTGCTGCAGGGCTGTGTGTCTATGTGAGCTCTCAGGAGCTTGCTAGTTGCACTTTTAACAGGAGGGAAGGGGAAGAGGTGTGGGTGACAGACTTGTGTCTGCCTGCTGACTCTGACTTGATCCAAGCAGAGTATTTATGCACTAAAATGAAGCTCTGCGTGCTGTGGCTTCATGCATGATAAAAATATCCCAGTGACTGCTTGGTCCTGTTCTTCAGGCCATGTGTTAATCAGTTGGGCGGTGGTCTGATCACCTGTGGCAACTGATTTGCATGTTTAATAACCTCTGGAAAGTCCTCCACTGTCTCTATTGGCTGAGAAGAGGTACCATGACTTTTGCAAAGCGCCAGGGAAGCCTGCAGGATAATTGGATAATTTGAAGGGAAGAGGGGAAGGAAGTTGTTTAGATATCCATGATGTGTTTGTTCCCTGTTTATATTGTCCTGCTGCACGTACTAAAAGGTCAAGAATCTGGGAAGACAAATTTTACTCCTAAGTGATGTTTGTGCTCTTAGCTTCTCTGGTCTGCCCCCACATCCCCATCCGAAAACAGGCTGGTCTGCCAGCATCTGTGTTTATCAAGGATCAGTGTTAGTGAACAATTTTGTTCTTGTAAGTATTGTCATAATGTGATCTTTCTGTAATACAATGTTCTTCTTGTTGGGCTTTTTTCACTTATTTTTTAGGAACAGGTCTGTGAACAGAACTCAGATTCTGCAGGAATTTTTCCCTACTTCCTCTTTGCTGTCTTTCCCCAAGACAGTCTCCCTAGAGAACTGCTTTCTCATCCGCCATCCAGATTTGGGGAATAAGGTGAGAAATTCATCCTGGAGCCATTGTCTCCCTGACTGTGAGTTGTCCTTCAGAAGCTCTCTAGGCCTTTGGGGGTTTGCATGTCTTCAGTTCTTTCCACTGCTGTGTGATGTGGCATCTCAAGGTTGCTGTACCCCCCAGAACTGGAGAGAAAGCATGTTGTGTCTACTTATGTGCTGCTGGGACACCGTGTCCCAGACCTCCCTCAGCAATAAGAAATGCCTGTGGGCTGTCCCAGCTCCTCACATTTACGTCCTGGTCTGTGTGCACAGCTGGGCACAGTTCACTTGAAGGCACCTTTCTGGGAGTTGTTCCTGGTAGTAAGTTCTACCTGTTTTGGGATACCTGCAATGGGGGCACATCACAGAAATGAGTGTTTCCAGCCTGATCTTTGTTTCCATGTGAGTTTTGTGGAGGAACTGCCTTGGGAGGCTTTGCTTTGGTATCTGAGGGAGCAGCAAACCTGTAGTTTGTGCTGCCTCACCTCGTTGCAGGGCAGCAACTTGCCCTTGTTTAATCAGATTCAAGAAAAGCTGGCAAGGCTTGTGAAATATTCTTCTCTCTTCCTAGAGCTACAGTTTGCACAGCCTCTTTGTTGTTGGAAGTGGACAGCTCACCCTGACTGTTGTACCTCTGGACAAGTGCAGAGGACACTGCGAGATGTTCAAGGTGGATCTGGAAGCTGGAGATTTGGGTGAGTAGCTGTGCTGTAATCTGCAGGCTCTGGGAGCTGGGTTTTTCATAGCTGACACCTAAGGATGTAGTGTGTGCCTGCAGTGAGTATTTGTAGCAAGATAGAAGCATGGTGATTTTGGGCTGGAATTCATGGCCTGGACTGCAACTGCATGCCATGAGATGCTGAGTGTAAAGATTGCTAGAACTGAGCTGCAGGGGCTGCACAAGACACAGTGCTCTGCTGGGTGTTACAAACTGAGGGCAGGGGCTCAAAGAGCTTCTGCGTGTTGTCTTCCCTTTGTGGGAAAGGCAAGCAGTCGTTAGGCATGAATTGAACTAATGATGCTTCTTCATTGCATTTCCCAAAGGTTATGCCAGCACGGATTACTGGACGATGAGCTTCGTGGCCAAAGGGACAGAGCCAGCTGTTGTTTGTTATGGAGCTGCTAGCTAAGGACTGTGGCATAGGAAAACAGAGCTACTTCCAGGGCAAGAAGACTTTCAGCTTTGAAGCCAAGGCAACATCTTGAAAACGATAGAGTGGGGCAACTGTGACAGGCAGCTTTGCCACCCTGCATGTTTACAGTGTTAAAAAATGACTGTTGTCCTGACCCTTGAGGTAATTCTTTGCCTTTTCTCAGATGTATTTTTGGAGAAGCTCAAGCTATTTATGACCTTTCCTGTCCCCTCAGGTAAGCTGCGGGCTGGCAGCAAGGGTTTTTTTTCCAGGAGCAACAGAAGGGTTTCTCAGGATGAGATTAATCTTGTGTCCTTTCTGGATTTATGGCACTTCTGAAACTTCGAGGGGGGGAAGAGGGAACATTGGGAGTGAAGGCTGTGTGTGTGACATTTCTGTATACATTCCTCCTGGGGAGGAGGCTTGAAGCCTGCCATGTCAGGCCATCTCTACAAAGGGAATGAATTGACATATCCCACCTCCACCCCATCTCTCACACGTGTGGCTGCGTGCCTCAGCAGTGCGCCCTGCATCACCAGCCTCAGCTCTGTGCTTCTGGGCTCCCACAAGCACTGCAGCCTCAGTGCAGAGAGCCTCCCTCACCGCACCATTCTTGTACCAAATGAATCAGTTCAGACCTCTGATCACTCTCCTGCAGTTCTCTCTCAGCAGGCTGGAGGTGAGTCAAACTGTGACTCTGCTTTCTTCCCCCCCGCTTCTTTTCCTACGACAAAAATGCAGGTTTCTGTGAGGTGCTGAGAGTGCAGCAGTGGTTCTGTTTGGAGATGGGGTTGGATGCAGAGCAGCTCTCTGCAAGATCATCTTCTGATTGTGCACCTGAGACGTGGGGGTTGTGTGATTGCTTTCAGATATCCCTTGCTTTGAGGCACTGCCTGTGTTCCCAGCCCAGGCTACCTGTGGGAGCACCAGAAATTTTCCATGTCCCTAGCTTTTTTTTGTTTTGTTTTGTTTAGTTTTGGCATCGATTTCTTCCAGACCTGAAACTTTGTCTTCAGAATGAATGTTGGTTTTTCCTGAGTCTGTTCCAAGCTGCCTTCGCATGCTTCCTGTTGCTTGAGCAACTGCTTTATCCAGTGCCCTGAGAGAGGCTTGGTTTCAGTGTTTGCAGGCTGCGGATGCTGCTGTCCCTTCCAAGTTTGATCCTTTGGGTCTGTTCCTGCTGCTGAAGATCATTTACAGATGTGTCAGGCTGAACTCATAGGCCAGGGCTGGGGTTCAGGACATACTCTAACACTTGTTAATATGGAATTGGGAGGGGTTTTGTTTGAAAGCAAGTTAACTCCGTTCTCAGGAGCAAGAACCTTTTCCTCTGTAAATATTTTAGATATACTTAAAGTGATAGATTGGAAAAATGTCTACCCAGCCTTTGTTTTTGAACAAGAGCAGGCACATGGGAGCAAATGTCTTACTAATCTCATTAAGGGCTGACGGCAGCTGCCAAGTGGGATGACCACGTCTGGCTCCTGCACAAGGACAAGGCAGAGGACGGTTCCTGCTCCAAAGAATTTAGCCTGAGAGAATTTAGTCTGCATCACAAACATTTCTGTGCATAACCCTTGTTTTTCCTCCTGTAAGCTAACGAGAACAACCCCAGCACTTGTGTTAGTCGGAGTGTTTGGCCTTTCACACTGGACCAATGTGCTCCAGGTCCAATAGAACTGAAGGAGGCTGACTCTGAACAGAAAAAGGCTAATTTAATTTGTAGTAAAACATTAAAGGGAATCGGATTAACCAGACTTCTGTTAATATTGTTGATGCTTGGGGTGTGTTTTACCCTTGTGACACAACATGCAATCTTGTACATGCCAGCACACACACACACACACACACACACACACACACACACCACCCCTCTCCCTCTTCTTAAAGCCTGGATCTTAGTTAATGGAAATTCAGGAGCTCAGTGATGCTGGAATTAGGGCCCATGGAGTGACTGTTGCTATTTACGCTTTTGGCAGCCTCTCAAGTCAAATTCAAAGACTGACAAGGTTACCTCACCTCTCCCTGTTTTTGTACCTGGTCCATTTCTGTAACACATGGGTTGGAGGTGCCCGTGGAAAGGAGCTGCTGGGCCCATTGCTGCTGGGATGGGGGGCGATTCGGTGATGCTGCTGCTTCTAAGCACCCTTGAATGAAGCTTCTAAAAGAGCTGCAGAGACAATGAATGTCTGTGAGGTGCCTGCATTTGGAGTGTCACACTTGTGGCTGTCTGGATCCTTTGGGAAAAAGCAGAGAAAATGGATCTATTTATGTTGCTGTTTACACTGGGGGAAGGGGGGACCCTAGGGTAAGTTTGTGCCTACTTAGCAAAAGTGCTCTCACGTGTTGCTTCCCCACTGCTCAGTGTTACAGCTGGTTGGCCAGGAGATGGTGGATCTGGACTTGTTGGCAGATTAGCTTTCCAAGTGCATTTTATGGTCTCTGCATAAAGTTTCCAGATCTGTGTCTAGGTGATACATTGCATATGTCCCAACCTTACTCCCTTTGGAGTTTACATCATTTGTTTTTAAACTTCCACTATATTTTCTCTTCCTTTTCCAAGAGCTGTAAGGAATTAGCTGCTAAGCAGAAACAGGAGGGCAATTCTCTTGCTGATAAAGAGCTGATTTTGGCCACGGCTGCTGCTGAGTGCAGAGCCTCAATCTGTAGTGCAGCTTCTCGAGTAGCTGCTGTTGTCAGCTGCCAGAGGAGCAGTGCTAACACCTTCCACATTGCAGCACAGGCAGGGAGCCGGGTACCAACAACTCGGAGGTGAGGCCAAAGTGGCAAAATTCAGATGGCCAAAAAGAGGTTTGGATACCTTGGCTGTGTGGCTGCAACTGAGCCCTGGCCATCTTCCATATCTGGGGCTCTGGCTTCACAGAACCTCACCTCACCTATAGAGCAGGCAGCTCCTAGCGAGCTGCTGAGCCTGGTGCAGAAGTGAGGGGAATGCATCTGCTTTCTCAGCTGTCAAAGAGATTGCAGCAACAAATGTGGTTGGATGAGTGTGTCTGTCGTGGTCTCTCTTGCCTATAGCTTTGTTTTGGCACCTGTGCACCCTGTTTTGAGTAACAGCCCACTTCCCATCCTGGCCAGCCCGGCGGGGTGCTCAGTAAATGTGTGCATCCTTATTCTTAACATTTCCATGCTCTTTGCCTGTGAGCTGGGAGAGAAAGGACTTGCATTCACCTGACATCCCAGAGGTTGCAAAGCTTCTCTGAAGTCACGCCAGTCACTGAGAACCTTGTGGGCAGAAGTGTGGAAGGGTCGTTTCTCTGCTCCTCGAGGTGGAGAGGTGGGATGCTGGACCTCGGGATGGTTGTGCTTTAAAGCTGGTTTCCAAAAGCAGGGTCATTGACCATTGCTCTGAGTGCTGAACTCAAGGAGTGTTGTTTCCCTTCGGTACCAGGAAATCAGCATCACTTCTAGGGGCCAAGCTGACAGTTTCTGTTGATTGTTTTCCGTCTCTCTCTGCTGATCCCAGCATCCAGCTGCCTTTGCAGCACCCTGGAGAACTTTCTAGGCTCAGGTTTCCTGGGCCTTTGGCTTCTCTTGCTGCAAGGATCTGGCAGGGAGGCTGGTTGTACTGCAGGGAGCTGGGCTGGCTCAGAGCACCTCCCTTCTCTCCCTGGTTTTGTAGCAGCAAGCCCAGCTCACAGCATGGGAACTCCCTAAGTGAGAAGAGGTGTCCTCTTTGCAAATTCTGTTTGTAGAGCCATGTGTTTTCCCCTTCAGGAAACTGAATCTCATAAAGCACAGGTTTCATGTCCTGCTGAGTTAAATAAGGGAGATGCTGGTCTTCCCCTTGGCTTTGAAGATTCAAACCAATGGTAGGTGATTTATTTTTTGTGCTGTCGCTTTGTCTGTAGGGAGGGGGAGGCAATATAAAGGCTCAGGGGTGCAGGGAACTAAAGCTATACATGCATAAAGACTGTTTCAGTGCTGAACATTATAAATTCAGTGGTGGATTAAAAGAAAAAGAATGTAAATATGCAATTAATGCAGAATTTTATGGATGGTCATAATTTAATATATTGAGAACTCTGTAAATACTTGGGAAAAAAACGTCTGTAAAGTGTGTAAATAAATGAGATTTGTATGTAAAGAAGAATAAAAAGAAAAGTTTTTACTTTTTGCAATGAAATGCAGTGTTTCTGCACCTCTCCCCCTTTCCTGATTCTTATTTTCACGTCGTGTCTCAGCCACTGAGGGGTCATTTAAACCTTTTAGGACACTGTGAAAAGTTGGAATGCTTTGGAAAATGTTTTGCCAGTTTGAAGCTGGTTCCCAAAGCAAAGGTGCTGCAGTGGCACCGTCTGTCTCTCCTTTCTTCCTACTAACAGTGTCTGTCCTTCCTTCACAATTCAGCTTATTTCAGCCAAGCACTGACAGAAGGGACAGAAGTTGGTAATTTCCAGAGCTGAATAAGGCAGGCAAAGGAGAGAAAGCTCCCACTGCTACCAGGATAAAGTGCAAGCCTTGGTAGGCACCCAAGAAGCCACGTTGAAGACCTTCAAGACGTGAGTCAGTAGAAAATGAGGCTTTGCTGCTTCTGCAATGCAGACTTGGGCCTTTTTGGAGCCCGCCAGTGTTGAGCTGAAGCCTTTACACCCTCATCAGGTACCACCGGCATGGAACTCCTGTCTCATGCCGAGGCTGCTGGCTCCCAGGGGTGCAGCAGACTGCAGTGAGCAGCAGGAAAGCTGCATTCCTCACACACTTACTAATGCCGGCTGGACATGAGTTTGTCAGCTCCAGGGTGGGGCTTGGACCTCGTGCTGTTAATCTCCACGCTTCAGACACTGGCTCCAGAAGGATCCATTAGGGTAGGTTGGGAGGTTGGGAAATTGTGCTGCACCCCCCCTTCACCAGCAGCCGTGCCTGACCTTGCCAGATGCACTGGCTGTTACTCACGTCTCTCCATGAGCCACGTGCCCTGGTTGTGACTCTTCCAGACCTGTTTTCCCCGAAAGCACTGGGTGTCCCAATTTTTTTTAATCCTCGTTGCTTCAGTAAGGTCTAGTGAGGATGCTGTGGTGCCAGAGGCTGCTTAAGGCTTAGCCCTTCATTTCTGCATCGCTTTGAAAGTACCAGTAGGTTCGCTGAGGTCTTCTCATCACTGCCTTGTTCCTCATCTGCCAAGATGAGCTCATCTACCAGCGGTGAGCTGGTAGGACTTGGGTCCTGATATTGTTCCTTTCTAGTTGTTTCTCCAGGTCTCCAGAGATGCAGCAGAGCTACTGGAGTGTCTTGTGAAGGAGGTGGGTTTGCCTTGACCCACACTCCAAGCCTGATGTTGACCTTAGCAATAAATGTGAACTGTGGTGAGATGTTAGCTCCAGATCCTGCTTGCAGAAGTTATTGAGCTACTGAAAGCATTTTAGACTCTGGACCTAATAAAGGAGTAGTTAATATGTGGAGGTAAGATCTGGTGGGGATGTAGGAAAGCAGTGGAGGCAAGAGAGCTGATGAGAGTGGTCTGAAGCAGAAGGACAACAGTAAAGCAGGGCCTGGAGAGCTGGGAAGGGAGGGGGGAAGGCAGCACTGACTGTTTGTGATGAACTTAGCTCTGCTAGCCAGAGCTGCCCCCCAGCTGATCCTTCAGAACAGTCTGTGACCCCCAGAAGCAGCTCCTGGAGTGGAGCTGGAAGGAGGAGGTGAGGGGGTCTCCGCAGGACTGTCTCCAGCACAAGTGGGGCAGCGTGTGACTGGGGATGCTGATCCTGAGCCCTCCAGGTGTCTGGCTGTGGCTGCAGCACGGTCTGTCCCTGCAGAGCTCATGGTCTGCTACTCCAGACAGACTCAAAGGCAGCTCTTGACTGCTAACTCCCCTTTTGGGGGCAATTTCAGCTCTTGATCTCGTTCTTCCTCCTCATCCTCCTGATGACAGAGGGAAGAGACATCAACCCTCTGCTATCTCTTCTTGGAGGGATGGAGGGGGCAGGAGGCTGCTCCCCACTGCCTGCTGCTTTCCCCTGACATAACCAGTGCACAGAGATAGGAGATGGACAAGGGGAGCCTTACAGCACTGCAAGCTGTTCTTAGCAGTTGCAGTTGCCTTTATTTCTAGAAGCGCCTCAGTGACCAAGGAACACCCTTGTGTAAAACAGAGCTCTGCATTTATTTGTCAGTTGTTTGGGTTTTATTATTATTGTAGTTCAGGACAAAAGGTGGAAAAGGGACCACATAACAGATGGTTGAGGTGATGTCTGACGTTTGGAACAGCAGAGACTTACGTGAAAATGCCAGTGCAGGGAATTAGGATTGATGCACAGGGTCTGCCTTGGGGAGCGGACCAAGGGAGCTCTTTGGCACTGTATCCACTTCTGCTTCTCCATCAAGGCTGATATGTGAGATGGGTGTGTTCCATGTGGCTCTGAAACTCCTCTAATAAAGAACTATGTTTCCTCCCAGATCTTCAAGCTGTTGGGTGTTCCTTGCTTTTGGGAGGTGCTTTAAATCTGACTGCCAGAGCTGTGGGCTGCTAAGAGCAGAAGCTGTCTGCACGATGCTGAGCTCAGGTCTTTCTCCTCTTTTCCTGTTGCTCACAGCACTGGAGCTGAGCTGGTCCCTGACTGATGAAGAAAAGAGGATCATCTTGGATGAGCACAACAAATACCGCTCGCAGGTCTCTCCTCCTGCTGTGGATATGCTGAAGATGGTAAGTGGCTTTTATGGCAGGGAATCCCAGAGTGGAATGGTGCAAGGTTTAACCTTAATGCCTGCAGGAATCGGGGTTTTGTCTGGGGAAGGCAGGGCAATAATTGCTTAGAGCTATTGATATCAATGGAGGGGTTCCCCAGATTGCCTCTACAAGGATGAGTCTTTTCATGCATAGAGTTGACTGATCAGTTTTGGAAGTTCCTGAGCACAATCTGTGTCTCCTGATGCTCTGTGAGAGCAGAGCAGCTTTCGCTCATGTGAAGCTCATTCAGAAAGGCAGGTGCTGCCCTGAGCTGTGGTGCTGAGCAGGGCTACACAGCAGAGGGGGAATCCTATACCAGCAGCTGGTGAAGCACTGCTCCATGTGCTTCATTTACCTTTGCAGGTGATTGGGATCCAAAATTCAAGGGTGACCTCCAGGTTGTTCAATTTGGGCTTTCCTTCGTGTTCCTAAGCACCACGATTCCCACGGGCGTAGCAAGATGCAGAAAAGCCAGGGAATTTGGAGCCAAGCTCTTAGGGAAAGAATGAGGGAAACAGTTTCCCACATGTCTAAAATGTGGGTCAGGATCCTTAGGTTGGTGGTGATTTGAGGCAGGGAGTGCTGTAGCAGCGGAGGCAGATCGCTTGCTTGGAGAAGTTCCCTTCTGCAGGGCTGCATTGTTTCTTCATTTAATCCAATCTCCTTGAACACATGGGACCTCCTGATGCTGCAGATCAGGAGCATCACAGATGTTCGGTGTCGAGCAGCCCTGACAGTTTCTTGTTAGAGGAGTTCCATGAAAGCCCCATTCTAACTTTCCTCCCCAGGACACAGTGCTGCTTGTGCCTTCCCTGTCTCTGACCTCACCTGCAGCTGCACCACGTTTCTGTTTGGGTCTGGTTGCTGTGGAAATAGTTATATGATGGGGGGATTCAGAGCCTAAAGCCATTTACTTTAAACTGAGGCAAATGCTGCAGGTGCAAGCCCACTGTTTATGGAGCCCAGCTCTCTGCCAGAGGGAAATGGTGTGTGTTTCCCAAGCAGAGTTTCCAGCCCGTTGTTCTCAGCCTGGCTTGGGGCCATGGTGGGAGCTCAGCTGGCTCTCTGTCCCCCACCCACTGTGCTTCCCCCACAGTGCTGCTGCTCAGGGGCTGTCCTTGTCCCCTCCACACCCTGATGGCCAAATGCCCTGCAGCAGAGCTGTCTGTGTTCTGTGCCACTTTGCGCCCAGTGCTGGTTCTAGCCAGGAAAGCCCCCTTAGGACCCTCTGTTTGCTGGGCTGCCTTCCAGCCTGCTGCAGAAGCAAAGCTCCATCAAATGGAGCAAGGATGGTCAAAGCAGCTGCAGCACAGGGCTTCCCACTCATCTCCCTGCACGAAAGCCTCTGGGGCCTCAGCTGATGGGGGGCCACTGCTGGAGGGAGCTCTGCGTGTCTGTCAGGGGAGATTTGTCCAGCTCCACTCCTGTCCTCATCCCCGCTCCTGTGTGACCCAGGGTCCTCTTGTCCTCTATTTAGACTTACAGCTCTCCATGCTGAGCTGAGGGTGCTCCGTGCTGACATTTCAGGTGCTCCAGGCAAGGCTGAGAATTGTGCTGCTGCTGTGATCTACCCCTGTTTGATACGTTTGGTTTGTGCTGGGACGGACTGAGGAGATCCCTTCCCCCATGCACTCCTCAGAAGGCACTCAGGGCACCCACATATTGAGTAAGGATTTGAATATGACTTCTGAATGGGAGAATCATGACCAGGCAGCTCGGGAGTCCTTCTTGTGTGTGTCAGAGAGCCCCATGTCCCTCTCCATTTACTGACACTGAGCTCCTTGCAGAGCTGGGACACGGAGCTGGAGGCCTTTGCCCAGGCCTATGCAGAGAAATGCATCTGGGACCACAACAAGGAGAGGGGCCGACGGGGGGAAAACCTCTTTGCTATGGCCCCGATGCTGGATCTGGAATTCGCTGTGGAGGACTGGAATGCGGAGGAGAAATTCTACAACCTGACGACTTCCACGTGTGTCTCTGGGCAGATGTGTGGCCACTACACCCAGGTACCAACCTGCTGGGGCAGAGGGGAAGCTTGGTGGGGAAGGATCTGTATCAGAGCCCTGGGTCCTCCCAGAGTCTTTGCAAAGAGATGGGGAATCTGTGCTGGGCACCAGCCAGGAATCACTGATACAGGGGGACCTGGGCACGGTGCCTTTTGGATAAGACCTCTTTGAAAATAGCTCTGCAGCTGTTTTTTGGCAGTGAAGCAGAGCTGGGTGCCAGCTTGCCTCAGGCAGAGATGAAATCTGAGTGTGTCTTTGCAGTGTGAGTGAGTGGTGGGAGTGGAGAGGAGCGTAGTCAGTGGTGGTGAGTGTCAGGATGGATCTGTGAAGGAGCCCTGGATCGAAACAGAGGTGGTGATGTTATGAAGTAAAAAGCTATGGCCCTAGGCTGGGGAGGTGCTCCAGACAGATGCAGCTTCCAAGGCCACAGTATGGCCTGTCAACAAGGCATCTGCCTTCATCATCACCTCACCTTCACCCCTGGTCTTTGTCCTAGGTGGTCTGGGCAAGCACGCACCGCATTGGCTGTGGGTCAAAGTTTTGTGAGAAGATTGAAGGAATTGAAACAGAGGACATGTACCTGCTTGTCTGCAACTATTATCCCCCGTAAGTCCCATGCCTCACATGATTTGGTTCATCTTGGTGGGGCATCTGTGCTGGAAATGCCCTGCTATAGTCCCTATAAAATGGCAGGAAAAGCCTTTGGACTTGCTGAAAAATAAAGGCAAAGCAATTTTGAAAAAGATCTTTGTTATCTTGGGTTGGTCGTAAAGGAAGGAAGGGTTGTTTGGTGATCCTTAGCCATGATTGTGATTCCTGCTGTCTGGTTCAGCTCCTGGCACAGACCAGGGAGGTCCCCCAGGAAACTGCCCAAGGCTGGTGCTGCAGCAGCTGAAAGTACAAACATCACCTGCTTGCTCTGTGCCTGGTGCTTCCCAATAGAGCAGTGATAGCCTGGTGAGGGGGAACATGTTTTCTACCAGCAGAACGGTAAGATGTGGGAGGAAGGGTGGCTGCCTGCCTGTGAAGCCCTGGTGTTAACCTCAGGGATCACTGGCTCTGAGATGGAGAGCAACAGCAGACCTTCTTAGGAGCATTCAGCAAAAGGGAGACAAAGGCGTTTCCAAATGCCCACTGACTGCTCTTTTGTAAGGGGCAGTGAAAGACCAGGTCCACAGAACTGTTTCCCTTGGTTTTAGCAGTCTTGGGTTCAGGACATGGATCAAGCTGTGCTGATCCAAGTGTGTGGCAGAAGACACGCTTTAATTCTGAGTTTTGTTTTGGCTGGGATATTCCAGTTGAATCAGACTCCCTCTTGGGGATGGGTGTTTTCTGCCTTGTCCTCACATTTTTTTGGTGTCATGTGCTTCCAGGGGTAACATGAAAGGCAGGAAGCCATACAGGGAAGGACCCTCTTGTTCACAGTGTCCCGAGGACAGAGTCTGTGTCAACTCCTTGTGTGGTAAGTGAAGCAAAGCCATGCACGTGCCTTGTCAGGCTGTTGGTACTGAGACCCCTGGGTTGAGGTCCACGTTCTGAACCTGGACCAGCAGCTTCAGGTCTGGACTAAGAGATGTCATGTGTGATGGCAGCCCCTGAGAAAGGTCAACTGCCAAAAGATGAGGAGGATCGAACAAGGACCTCAGACCTCCCATAGCCAGTGGTTATTGCTCCATGAGGATGCCCCGTTCTTAAGGGGAAGGAGGTTGTGTAAAGGAGATGAGATTTCTCAGTGTTGGGAATTCTAAAGTGGGAGATGGCCCAGAGTGACCTAAGCAGCCTCTGGCTGCTCCTTCTACGCGCTGTTGACTTTTGCTGGCCCTGATCAGTTGAGGCCAGCTGACCCCTGTGCTAACCCATGGCACTTTCCATCTCTTACCAGAACCCACTATAGAAGAGACCACTCCACCCTCTGTGACAACAAAGGCAAGCCCATCCACCCCAGTCACACCAGAACGCACCACACCAGCACCCACCACAGTCACAGCCAAGCCAGAACCCACAACCATGCCCTCAGCCACCACAACAGTAGCCAGCACAGCCAAGGCAGAGCCAAAACCTGCTACAACCAAGCCATCATACACCACACCGGTACTCACTACTGCTACATCCAAGCCAAAACCCACCATGCTAACAACCACCAGTACAGCCAAGCCAGCACCCACCACAGCAAAACCAACGACCACCACACCAGAACCCAC